CTTAGCATTTCTGTCTGTAACAATAGTAAACAAAAACTAAATATGATACAATGACAGTCCACCATTAAATGTTATTGATAACACAGTTTGTGAAGAGGCGAATATCGCTATCTCGCCATTCTTCTGTCACGCTCATCCATACACACCATAGACCTAATTCCTGGTCTGATCCTACCTCATCCACTTTTTATTAAAATGTGCTTCAATTTTTAACATCCACATCTTTCACTTTTCCCATGAAATCACTCAAAGTTACAGAGAATGACACGAGATCAAACATGACAAAAACCACCAGAGTCAAGGCCCATAAAGCTTATAAAGCCATGTCCTATAAATTACACTTTAAATACAATGTTAAAGAACTTTTAAATGCGCTACACATCCCTGTTCGAGCGTAACCCGAGCCTAAGGATAAGACATATAACACCCTTATCATCCTTACTGCTACATGAAGTCTGGTGACATCCAGTGTAGCTATGCCCACCTTCAACCTGAGCAGAAACAGTCAGCCTGGATGACTGAAAACACCTGTCGGGGAAATGATCGCAGGACCTGTAAACATTAGATTAATATCATGGTTTGGTTCATGTGGTGTGTCTTCAGTGATCTTTAGACATGAGTTAAGAAAAAGTGATATTCACCAAATTTCCCAGTTTTGTTCTTATGTTCCTTTTCACAATTTATTCTAAGGTTGGTTATCGGGTTTGCATTTTGATATAGTTTTATTTCAGTGGATTTAAACTTTCAAACCGACAGATAGCAAACTTACAGCTTCTGACAATTACTGCCTTTATATATCGGTTATTTCGCATTATAAAATGTATTCATTCTAAAAGATTGAGTCGTTCTTATTGTACATTCCTAAATTCCGCAGAGAATCGGGCCTTCAATGCTGTCTTCTGCCGTGGTACCGTGTGCTGTGGCGTGATGAACGGCGGCCTTGTGAGGAGCAGTGTGGTGTATTATACAGTGTGTCCCCATAAATCGCCTGCTGTCCCTTCTCAAGCAGCAGCAGAGCCAAGTCTTGGTCTACCATCAACCTGCACCAAACAGCCAAAACACACACAGAGAGACACAGAGACAGACGAAAGAAACAGAGAGGCGCAAAGGTACAGAGAGATACTGGAGGGAAACACACACACACACACACACACACACTATTCCCTGATTGCCAAACAGGCTTCTAATTAGTATCTTGGACCATCTGCCTAGCATTATCCCTTGTATAGTTCAGTGCTGTCATTTCATTACATCTATGTGTTTTATTAGTGCTTCCTGCTTTGTTTACAGCAGTGAAGGAGAAGAGACTGCAAACCTTTTGACTTCTTCAAGATCTGACAAGAACAGAAACAAAAGAGCCCTGTGAGAAAATCATAGTTGAGATGGATAACAATTAATGTTCTTTTCCTCTGCCAATACAAACACACATATATATGTATATATATGACATTATAATATAATGTTGAACAGAACTCACGCGGCCTCCCTGTCAAAACGTCAGCATAACATACAACAGAAAACAGATGGCTGTCAGTGAGTGGAATGTAAACAATTCTCATTTGTAAATTTACTTTTCAATTTGATATCTCAGTCTGTTCGTTTACAAAGACAAATGTTTGCATCACACCTGAATGTAAATCAAATGAACGACTCAGCTGAAGCTTCACCTGAGGAGACTCCATCTATCTTGACTGTGCCACACACACACACCACACACATGCCCATACATCTTAAGCCCTCCTGACGTGCTTTACCCACAACATAATTACCTGCTGTCCATTAAATCACTGCACTGAGGTGAAATGGGGGAAATAAACAGGGAAATCATGTCCTCAGTTTGCTTCTGGAAACCCAGAGCTCACGCAGACAGGTCATCAGACCAATGGTGAGTCATTGTTGTTGTTGTTGTTGTTTTTAAAACCCAATTTCTGGAAGTCATTTTAACATTAACCACTGTGACAGCCTTTTAAAAAAGGCTAATCTAGGCAGAGGAACAGAAAAAGGGCAAGATACTGAACCACAAGAAACAGAGGCAAACCACAGAGAATGTTGTGATGTGCAGCTCCTTGTTCAACTGTTAACAGTCATTTTATGGCTAAAAGCCCCAGACTGCATTGCAAATAGGAAATGGCTTTGAATCTTACTGTTGGGTCTCTTTTTCAATGAATTTCTTAGCAGAAAGTGATGACTGACAACAGCTCAGGGATTGCATCTCATACAGCAAGACGTCTGTGTCGTTAACCCCTGTCGAAACGGAGCCGTCAGCACTCGTAAGCAGTGGACGGGCTGTGGTAGTAGGAGTAAACACAGCTGACGTCAGAAGAAAGTCGTTTGGTTGTGGAAGGACCAAAGGTGCCTTTGCTTGGGTCGCTCGTCTGGTGCGTCCTCATGCTGCTGCTGAGCATAATTCAATCAGCTCCGTTAATAAGAAAGCCATAAACAAGACAAGAAATCCTGCAAGTGCATTAAAGATCAATCTGACTGCACGAAAAAGCCTCATCTTTGCAGCCACATTGCTCAAGACACTCACCCTGCACCCTGCTCACTGCTCTCGATTCTACCGACTGATGAAGGGTTTAAGAGCGGGAAATGGTTATTGTTGGACTAAAATTGGCGTTCCCATAGTAACCACATGTTGTACGGGCTTCACACATTAAGGAGAGGAAGCTGTGAGTCAGAATGTTACCAGTTCACAGTGACTGAGGATGTTTTTCATTCACTAAAACCACACACACACATGCACGCACAGCAGTATAGCCCGAATGCTACGGGATGTTTTGAGGCCAGTACTAGTATTTAGTAGTTCAGGAGCGGCCAACAAGAGATTGAAAGTCAATGCCTGACTGTATTTTAATAACGTTGTTAAGAGACATGGAGAAGCAGTGTAAACTTCAACTTTGTATAATGTATTATTCATCATTTCTGATTTATTGTCTATCATGGTCATTTGGTTAAGCCTGAAGCCAACCTAAAGTCCAACATGATGGACAGCACTGAAATGTGATTTTCCCCACCCAAAGGCACATTTTGATGTATGGTCAACATTAGAAGAAGGCCTTCTGGTCATCATTATATTTATTGTTATCCCTAAGTATCAACCCAATCCTCCTGCTCTCTTTTTCCCCAAATTTGAAATACTGTATGTATAACTCACTGCAAAAGACTAATTGAAATATATTTATATTGGCCAGAGGTAAATGTGAGGCGAAAAGCTGAATCAGTGGCCCAGCGTCACTGAATGAACGTACCTGGTGGAGGAGACACATAAGCGTCGACAGAGAAACAGTCTTTAATGTGCATCAGTGACATCATAATCAATACTTTATCCGCTTAATAAGGTCAGTATCTGCGGCAATACCGATCCAGTGCATCGGAATGGGTGCATACATAATGCAATTAATAATGTATCCCCATTAAAGATCCATAAGGAACCATGGAAGGAGAAGATGTGGCATAAGCCAAAGATTACAAATTACATTCAAATCATTACTGAACTATATATAGTACATACTCCATTTTAAACTAGTACCACCACTAAAGAGAGCATACAGACTAATGTAAACATTCAGACAACCAGTTGAAAAGGCCACAGAATCTCACGTTCAGTGTATCTACACAAAAGACAACATACTAAGTGCACGGGTCATTGTGTCTCGTCTCTGTCCTGGATGAATACTAAAAGTACTCTTATGCCTCTCTCACCAAATATGTAATGTATAGCACAGGTGCTGCCCTGCCGTTGCTGCTGGGCTCATGTGTTTAAAGAATGGATGTGCCGACTGTGAGAAGGGGGAGGTGGGAGGAGGAGACGCTGCTACTGTAGCAGTGCATCAGCAGAGGTGAGACTTCAGCCACTACATCACAGTTTGCAGACTGGAGGGAGGTGATGGGGGCATACTGTTAGATACACACACTTAACACTTATAGCACTAAACCTCTTGTGTTTGTTTTGTTCTGTTGTTACCAGTGCTAGAGTGGTTCTAAAGCCCTCCACGCTGAGGTGGTGTAAATAGTCACATGAGGAGGGGGGGGGGAAGGCCACAGCAGTGCACAGGCAGAGACTAATTGTCTTTTGCAGTCAAGCCTTCTCTCCCAGCGTTCATGGTTGAAGGGCAGCTATGTCAGCCAATCTTACCCCAGCTGCCTCTCACACCGCCAGACACACACGGACCTCCAGTGGGCTCCAGTGTGTGTGTCATTAGTGCTGACCCAGATGCTCTGAAACACTGACTGTCCTGTGACTGCATTACAGTCCCTGAATAAAACTCCCCTAAGCGTATTACACAGAGCAACAACGTTTAGTAACCTCTCCCTCATAGAAATGCAACCAAAATCAAATTTAAAAAAAAATGCCCATTGCAGAACAAATGGGAAGTGAAGTTTAGATGAGAGACAAAGTTGAGGGTCGAGACAGCTCATCGTGAGTCCAGCTGCGGAGGAGCAGCAGAGGTGCAAGGTATGTGCAGTGCAATGTGATCAGAGAGACAAAAGAGTTGACTAGCGTCAGGCTCAGGTGGAAAGATTAGTGGGTAACAGAGTTACATCACATACAAGCAAAACCTGCCCCGTCCAGCATCAGCACCATCGCTCACACCACAGATCATCCAGTGCGGTCAGTAAAGGGGAATGGACCCTGAATAATAGCCGTTTGGACATTCTCCCCGACTGCGCAAATTCCAATGCAATAGCAGCCTTCTCTCTGCATGTCACAGCGTATGCACAGAGCTTAAAGATGCATGGACCACGTTTTTTTTCTTTTCTTCCTAAAATGAAGCAACCTATTGAGCCATCAATAAAGCCTGTACGTGAATCCTGCACCCAGCAGCATGAAATGTGCGGATTACAAAACGCTGTCTGTTTGAAACAAAAGACCCATTTTTTTTTTTCCCCACCCGATATATGTTCCCAACTCATATCACTCGCAGCGTAGTTGTGACACAGGCTAATGCAACACACCAGCATGTGTTTTGTTGCAGCAGACACCTCGGCGGTGTGCTTACCCTCTGCGGACACAGCGCACCGGACAAGAAGTGAAAGCATCCCCGCAGACAGCAGACAGTTCGCGAGCATCCCCGCTGCTCCGGCTCGCCGTCTGGTCCTCGAACACCTCGCTTCTCCTCCGGCATCCGTCCGCCGCGCCGAGCGCCGGCCGGGGTCCGCTCGTCTGGCTCCGGCCACTACGGGGTGACCTGCCCGCCCACCCTTCAAACCGGGAGCCATATCCAGTGGATAAGTTGCTGAAGTTTCGGTCGTAAATAATACATTGGATCAATCCTCGTGCGTGAACGGGGGAAACACACAGCGGTTCCCGCGGTCTCGTCGTGGTGTCCAGGGCTGGAGGAGGCGGGGTGGTGGTGGTGGTGGGGCTGGGGGGGGGGGGGGGAGCGGCGTTGAAGGGAAATTTAGAAATCCGCCCTATCGCTCCGCTCCGCTCGGTCCACCCATCATCACCGAGTGGCGCAGGGAGGCGCGCACACTTTGCCAAAGGTTTGACATTTAGCTGCTGCTCGCACAGACCTGCTCAAGATGGATGACAGGCATTTGGGGTTTTGCTCGGGGGACGTTTAGCCGCAGATTTAAGGCTATGGAAGCTGCGGGGTCTTTGATTTACAGTCAAACACCCCCCCTGGTCAAACGGAGCGAATTATCCTCTCTGCTGTTAATTGTCGGGAGAAAGTGGAGGCGAGCGGTCTGTAGGACGACCTCTGCTGGGTGAATGAAGCCGGGCACAACTCCATGTGGAGCAGGATACATTTATGTATTATTATTCTTGTTCACGCATGCAGCTGGATTAGGCCTTGGCCCTGTATTCATTATAGTTGTATTTATCTCCACTAAGGCCTTCGATGTGTCCTTCACTGCCACATGAATACGTGATTGTGTAGGACTGCTACTGTAGAGACTATTGTAGGAGACCTCCTCCTTACATCCACCAGATGTCAGCACTGACCCAGAAACTGTGCATTAGTGGGCTAATGGAAATTGTAGGTGATGTAGAAAGCAAGACAAACTACATTTGACAAGAATTCCCCACAAAAAACGTCTTTTGTGAACAATCTTGACTTTTGGTGTAGGCTTTAGATCATCTATCTCACTCATTTGAGAACTTGTCAGTGAAGCAGCGGTTCTGGAGCTTTAGCTTTATTCAAAAGATCTCTATCAGCAGATGTGGTTTGCAAAGTTAAAAATGAAACTGGCATTAAAATGTTCAAATTTCCATTTATTTTTCTGTGAAGCACAATGCGGAGTAAATTAATTCATTATTCAATTGGCAGAAAATGAATACACAACAATTTTGTTGATCAATTAATCTTTAAAATATTTAGTTAAACAAAAAAATACTAAATATTCTCTGGTTCCCGTTTCTCAAATGTGAGGTTTGCTGCTTTTCACTGTTTATCATTCATAGCTGCCATCTGTATCATTTCATTTGTAACATTTGTTCGGGCATGTTCTGAGATTTTATAGACAAAGGGATTGATCAATAAACCCCCAAATGTTTCTGTCAGAATATAATCAGCTGCAGACCCTCTCATGAGTATCCTGTGTCCGAGTTACTAACCAGCATTGTTTGAGAATGTGGTGGACGAGTTGCAATATGATTAGTCAGCACCTGAATTAATAAGGTTATGGGGGAAAGAATAGACCAAGTCAAAAAGAGCTGCATCGATAGAATTTTTTTTTTTTTTTTAATTCAAAGTGAATCTCAACAATAATACACCATAAAGTCTTATTTTGACAGTCACCAAAAGAGTCACCTGGAAAACCCGCTTAATGTGACAAAGTAGAGAAGGCTTGGTCACACCTAAATCACTGAGAACTAGAGAGGAAACACTATCGCAAACTGTAAAGAGACATCACATCCATAGAGTTAGTTTTCCCAGTCCTCATACTGTAAATATTGCACAGTGCAATTGCTACATGGCAAACTAGTGTAGCACGAAATAAAAAAGCAAAATGAAACAAAAACGAAAAAACAAAGCCACAAAAGTATACAGGTATTGAAACGGTAACAGTTCAGATTTCTATTTGATGAGCAATCTAAAACAGATGATTCCATAACTTGCAGTGTGAATCAACTCTGAAATTGATAGATTACCAGAAAAATAAGAGCTTAAGTAAATCAAACCTCATCAAATCAAATTATAGAGTAACACAGTAGTACATTTAGACTAATACAGACCCTGAATTAACATCTCTAAAAGGATAATACCGCAGCAGAGGATTTGTTTTCTGATATCAAAGTCATAACTTTAATTGTAGTAATTTTACAAACAACTTTTATCTGTTAAATGTTACAGGAATCCAACAAAAAGAAAAAAAAAAAAAAAAAAAGAACTTATCCATAAACCCAAGGTGTCAATCGTGTGGAAAATTAAAAGAGTTTTAAGATTTCTCTCCTCTTGCATCCATTCTTTTCCTAACAAGTATGGGAGAGTTTATGCAGGCGCATTGCTGGTGAATACCTTTGGAGGAATCAAAACACAGATTACATTTCACATGCTTATTATTGGGGAACTATTTCAAGCACTAATCTGCCAAGTTCATGCCTTGTTGTCATGAGCTTTCTTTCCCACAAATGATACTCGAGTATAATCAGTAAAGCGTACAAGGTGAGCAAAAAGCTATCAAAATACATACAAGTGTTTACATGTGGAGTATTGAACTCATGACTTGACCGCGCAGAGAAACTACAATAATCTCCCCGACGGAGCAATTTTCCATCCAGAACACCGAAAAAAAACATCCAGACAAGACTGGATATAAAGCACGGCTCGTCTGATTTTTTAAAAGGCCAGTGTTGTCAACTTTGCTCCGGTTACTCCCACTCTGCCTTGACTTGCACGATGGAAAAGCCGCTCTGAGCAGACAGCTTCTAAGCAGACATAGTGAAGCAACTTGGGTGTACATGCAAGGTAATGTAAAGCATGGAGATTATCTAAGAACACTTGGTGGTGCAACGACCGCACAATGTAAAGTATTGCATCTACTGTTTAGCCAGAGTGACTATCGAAAGACTGTTGAGTGTCATATCTTTCAAAGTGTGTGTGTGTGTGTGTGTGTGTGTGTGTGTGTGTGTGTGTGTGTGTTATCACAGGGGCTTTGGTGGCGGCTATCTGAAACAAGAGGAGCACCACCACCATGTACATCTCCTCGGTCGTGTCTACAAGCTGATCAGAGGAGTACAAGTCCCTGGAATGACATTGTGATGAAGTCCTATTTTGTGTTTGTTTGTTGTTTGTTGTTTTTTTTATTCCTGGTCTTGTGGCCGTTGAAAGACTGCCTACTCTATATGGTAACGGACTGTAAGTGGATTCTATGCCTTCCTCATCAAATACGCGGGGGAGGAATCACCATCTTGAATTCTCACTTTCTGAAGCTCAAGGCACATACACAGTGCTGCTCACACTGTCTCAATTTCATTAAGGAACGCACAACAATGAGCACAGTTTTGCGTCGACAAAACATCATTTTGATATGAGACACTCATAAAGGGCAGAGCGATCCGAACACAAGGCAGTTTGGAATAACAAACTGTGGGACTGATATTCTAGCCAGATAGAACATTGAACAGTTAAAAAGGTTGCAATAAAGATTTGTTCAAATCAATTTAACAGTAAAACAAGTTGTAAAACATTATTTTGGAACAGAAACATTGGGCTAATTTGTTTTTAGGCAGTCTAACCCCCCACCTAACCTCACCTGTGTGAGTGCTTAGTGGCGAGTGCATTTGTGTGTAATTGATGGAAACATGACAGAAGCTATTCAATGAACATAATGTTTTGTGGGTATTTTTCTGACATCTCACAGTGCTCTTGTAACACAGAAGAGAGTACTGGTAGTATACCGTGTATACGTGCAATGAAAAAGTTAAAATCGATCCTGCAAGCTACAGCTTCAGATGCGTACAAAACACCAATATGAAAACATACAAAATTAAGTTACATCGATACATCATTTATATGCAGTGATGAGCCCAAAAGGTTAATAAGGATAAAATACTGATGCAAAAAACACACACCCCGAGAAACAACAAATGCATCTAATGTTCATCATCAGCAATACAGTAGTTACAATGACACTCCAAATATGAACGCAAAACACAAAAATCAAAACCACTTCTATTTCAGATAATTAGGGACCTATACAAAAAAATAGCAACATCAGGTTTAAACGCAGAGAAATCACCTAATTTCACAGCTATCGAAGTGGCAATCATCATGTAGCAGCTTATCTATGATACATTCAAGAAAGAAATGATACGACTTATTAATTGCCCAATAAGCTAGACAAAACCTCTGCCTTTTTTTTTTGTTACATACTTTTTTTTTTTTTGTTTGTTTTAATTTAACCCCATTCTACAACGACAGTATGACGGAGGTCTATGCAAACAGAATAGCTACCTTGCTCAGGAAATGAATTACAGTCTTTGGTGCTGCACAAGCAACTTCATTTGAAAATAAAAGACACAAAAAATACACGCTTAACTAGTAAAATGAACAGATAAAATGCTCGCAGAGCGCATATATATATATATATATATATATAGACTGGTGCTACCATCATATATATGTGTATATATCCTCCCTGACGGAATGTATAAAATAAGCAGTCGACACCGATAAGCCTCAAGCCTTTAACAAATGGTATAATGTAAAGGGAAAAAGTTAACTTTGTCACACATGCATAAATGAGAGAATTGCACACAATTAACTCACACCGTATCAAACATCTGTACTAAATAGTCTAGCTCTATAATATATGTCCATATATGTGTGTATATCGAATACTGCATGGTTTGCTCAGGCTTAGAAAACTCCATACCGTGAATTCATTTGCATTATTTTTCTTACCTAGTCAAAGCCATGCCCACCACATCTAAGAAACAAAGTGAAAACACTCAAAATGAAAACACGAAGACAAAGACGAAAACAAAATCAACGACTATTTAGATTGTATTGCAGTTTCATCGAACAGTACAAATACTGTTTGTAATAATAGTTTCACTAAATAGAAAGTGATTATCAAATATTAAGCAATACTCAGTACTTGCACTTTGTACACTAGTTCATTCGGGGGAAAAGGGAGAATGAAAAAAAAAAAAAAAACGTTTTTAATGAAACAGTAAGCATTCGCAACAGCAAAGCATGCTGTTCTTGTTGAAAGAACAGAAAAGTAACTCACTACACACTGAAATATACACCGACTCCAAAAGATAAGCACCGCTATCCGCAATACATCACATCCATGCAGACTATGCATGGACATATACACCGAGTGCATATATATACTCACACATAGGATGCATCGACTGATTGGAATTTCAAGTGCCGCAGTCCAGTACATTAATATTCATGTATATAGTCATATATAAGTAGTAACATTAACAAACCTCAAATATGTAAGGCACTATGGCTGGGGACAGTTATACAATGCAGCGAGTCCTGTGACACCAACAATAAGAGCAACGTCTATGCATCTTTCCGTTTACATTTTTGCTCATGCAAGACCACATGCAGCGTGAGGAACAACCCTATATAAATCGGTTAAATTGACTTGACATTGCTAACACCAAAAGACATCGAAAAAGGTACAAATACTTCAAACGCAGTACAACATACACGGTGGACAACTTGTGAATCTGTCAATCTAGACCTAGAGACTGGGATGGCTTTACAAAGATGGATGTGTCTTGCACACGTAAGAAGGCAATATAGAAAAATAGCTGGGATCAGGGGTGCAAAGTCTAACTATTCAACACCACCCCAATTATTTTACCTGTTTGAGGAGTATTCGTAGAAGATCCAATGCAAAGATATATATCAAATGTGCAAAATACACATTAAGTGTGAGTTTAACTACTCATTCATTCGCTCATTCAATCATACATACATCATTTCCTTCTTAATGTTTGCCCAAATCATCTCCATCATTGGAACTCTTTTTTCCTTTTTTTTTTTTAAAGCTTGAAGTTCAATTACACACAAGTCTACAAGATTCAAAAAAATAGCTTGCTTTCTCTGTGGTTGTGCCATGGTTTTGGAAATGAGAACCATGTTGTGGTCTACGATAGATTTCACCCTGCTCACTTAGCCCTCAGGTGGTAAAAAAAGGGTACCTGGGCAGCCGCGCTCACATGTAAGGGTACTGGTTTATTTTGGTGGGGCTGAGAGGGAAACTGGCGTAGGCGGGCGAGGCAATATAGGAGTGCGGGGGAAAGAGGGGCTTGAATTGGCCCTGGGGGTGCAAGGTGGGGGAAGGCAGCATTCGGGGGTTGATGCCCACTGTGACCTGATGCACGATGCCTGCCGGGTGGGAGATGCTGTATGTGGGCTGGAGGACGGGGCGGGAGGCTACAGGGGAAGCCAGGAGGTGGGCCACGGGGGCCGCCGTGACCAGAGGACCAGACTGCGGGTAGGACAGTAAGGTGGGCTGGGTGTGCGGGTGGCCCCCAAGGTGGAGGTGGGGGCCTGTAGCGTGGTTTGGGCTGCTGTGGGACAGGGTGAATGTGTGCCCATGCATGGTAGGAGGAATATAGGCCTGTGGTCTCCGATGGGCAAAGTTGCCGTTCCATTCCTGGTGGCAGGAACCGAAATGCTGCACCTGAGAGAGAGAACACCTGGTTGATAAGATTCACCATCTTCATCGACAGAGTTTGTCTTCGTGAGCCACTAGATGCTGCCATTTCCACATTTTTACATGTCTTTAATCAGTCATTAACAATCCTGACATTCACATCTTAATTCGTGTGTATACTCTTAGAATATCATATTAATTATCTTTGTCTTACTGGCAATACATTAAGTTAGCAGTATCACAGTAAAAGTCCTTCCCAGTTCCAAATGTACACCCTCCAACTGTGAGTCATTTGGAGCAAAGCTGGATGATTTGTTAGCAACCAAAGCTACTGTGGCAGATGAATTAAGTTCCATTTACAGTATGATGTGTGCTCCTGGCTGCTGCTCTGCTATAAAAAAGGAAATAGTTGCAATTCAAATGTGCTTTTTATCACTTAAATGTACAGAGTAGTACACTTCAGAAATTGCACTTTCTGGTACAGTTTGCCAGCTTCTTCACATTCCAGACTAAGGGCAGATATAGGAGACAATGACTTGACATGACAATGTAATAAAATGTATGCAACTGCCATGCGCTCACCTGCCCAAAGCCTATAGGCTGCTGTTGCTGGGGCTGGAATGCAGGGGTGATCTTCTGCGGCCTGTTGAGGAGGGGAGTGGACTGGTGATGATGTCGCCCAGGAAAGCCTCGCCCTTTGTACTGGCATGAAGACTCTAAGAGTGAGGTAGGACGGAGATGATGCGTTAATGCAGGCAATTTGGTGACCCACTCTCAATATCATAATGTAAAAAAGGGGCAGGCAAAAGACAAAAGAAAAGCAACCAGGGATCCAACTACAGCTGCAGAAATGGCAACATTTGTGACAGGAGGCTTATCAGTGATTTCAGCCGTGTTTGATCAGGTCCAAACCTTTAAACACAGCGACATCTGTCTTCTTAATATGAGCTAGGTGATTATAAATAGCTGTGTTTGGGGGGGGGGGGGGTCTGGGAGGAGTTGCTAACTAAGCTTGTTCATAGAGCTTACAGTGGGGTCAGACCGTCAGCTATAAATACACCTGGTAGCACTAGAATAGCAAACTGTGCCCTTTTATGTGGGGCTTTAGTTGCAATAGTGGGGGGGGGGGTTCTTTGACATGAAAGGCAATATGACTCTGCATGATTTTCTCTGAGGATTTACAGTTGAACCCTCCACTTTAAAATACCTATAAAGAGGTAGCTTTTAAATGCACTCAGGTGCTGAGAGCACAGCTGTTAATAAAGCTTACATACAGGCATGCGTAACTCCAGAAAGAAACATTTATCAAGCATTTATCTGTTTATGACAACCAGATCTGTTCATGTTCTCTGCTTAACATCCAATATTTCATTCAAGACATTACACATTGTGGGGCAATTACGCATGTCTTATGTAGCTTTAAAAAGTGCACATCCACACAGGTACAGGGGCACTCAGAGTCAGTCTGGAGCCAGATTAAGGAGGCAAACAAATATCCACTCCAGAGTTCAGAGCAGATACTTCAGGGCAGGTCACCCATAATCACCTGTGAGAACCTCTGTGGTCTACAAAGACAGCGTAATCCCAGACCATGTGACCTGTGGAGCAGACAGCAGCAGTGGTGACTGGATCTTTGAGCTACCATGACCTACTCATGCACTTGCTAGTCTTCAGAGCGTACTGCAGACACAAAGCAACCGAGTGTGGAGAAGAAACGGTGTCCCTGTCGCCTACGTTATTCATATGATCATTTAGAGATAACCTGCTTTTAATACACTGGTCACTTTCAGCAGCTCTTAGGTACAACAAAGCACGAATTTCAGACTCCTAATATACATGTGTAGGTCTTAAATACGCAACACACTGAATGTATATTCGTGTTAACGATGATTCACATGTTCAGTTTTACCTGTGTTGCCATACGTGTCGCTGACAGTCGGGTAGTAGTAGTTGTTGTTCTGCGCTCTCATCGGCGGCACCACGACGGTACGAACTGTTGGCTTGCTGGGCTCGGTCTCCGGAGCAACGCACGCAACGCGGGGCTGGCGGTTCTGGTTGCCGACGGCGATGAAGCGTTGCCGTGCGAAGGGACTGTTGCTATGGCCGTCGGAGGCGTCCGAGGTGGGCGAGCTGTCCACCGTGTCACAGCCGCTCTCCTGCTCGTCGTCTGACATACTGCAAGAGGGGAACCAATGAGGAGGGAAGTTATAAAGTAGAACCAGGAGGAACATCTGTAAGAGCTGTTTGAATGGGTCGTATTGGTCGTATTGGTCGTATTGGTCATATTGGTCATATTGGTCATATTGGTCATATTGGTCGTACCTGTTGGGGTGTTTGCAGGGTGAGGTGCTGGACTGGGCCGAGGCTGAAGAGCTGGTGCTGAGCGTGCTGTCTGGACTGCTCAGGGAGCAGACTCTCTCCATACTGACGGTGCTCTGACACGCCTCACAAGCTGCACTACCTTTACACCTGTGTGCAGAGAGAGTCAAATCAAATAAGACACTTGTAGAAAAGAAAAATTTGAAATATTGTTTAGAAGGAACCTGATGGTGAGCACTCACTCCCCCATCGAGTGTCTTTGTGCGCTCTCCTCTTCGTCGCTGCTGATACTGATGACGCTAACGGTCGGGCTCGCTACGTCAGAGATCACCATGGCCTGCCGCTGCTGCTCCTGTGAAACCGAAAGCTCCTCACAGTCTGGCTCCACTTTACAGCAGTTCTCCACCTCCACCTGCTTGGTTCCTTGCTCCTCTCCGGCAGTACGCCCTTCTTCTGGGAATCTGGGTTCTACCTGCTGCACATTCTTTGCTGTATCGGCCATCTTTGGGGACTGGCATGCTATATTTTGGACGTTTGTGTTTTGGGAGAAGTTGCTGCCCCTATTGAAGGAAGATAAGTCACTTTCAGAATGGAAGAACCTCTTTAAGTGCACGTCTGTGCATTCTAGTTGCAACACTTGCCATACCTGTTCACGCAAGGCTTGGCTCTCTTGTTGGCAGCCGGCTGTGGCCACACCACATGTGCAATGCCTATGTTGATTGGCTGGTGGGTGGACATGGTCATTTGGTTGGTTAAGAATGGCTGAGAGTGTGCAATCATGGAGCTGTAATGGTTACCATGGGGACGCACTTTCCTGCATTAAGGAAACAGAACATTGCAAATTGAGCCAAACGCCTTTTAGCACCATTATCAACAAAATAGTCTCCGTCACGAGTCCCAAAGGGACGCGTATGACTCATCGATCATTATTATTCAGGGGAGCAAAGCGTGCTGTATCAGAGCAGTACAGCCATTCCCAAAGGGTATAGATTACAACTAAAAGGTAATAAAGCACTAATAAATATTGCTTTAGATAATACTACATATTGGAACTATATAGAACATAATCAAGAACGGACAGGGATGATGCATCAAAAAGATAGAAAGAAATTGCGTACCCCCAGTCACCCAATCTTTGTGAGCCGGCCACAGTATCAGATGCCAAAGTGGTTGGTGGTGGAGGCCCTGATGTCACCTGCTGCCAAGTGGGCACCAAGATCTGCTGTGCACGGTTGGACCAGGCCTGTTGAAGTTCAGAGAAGCAACGCTTATTTTGCACTCGGTGATGCTTTTATCAGCTTGCCATCAGAGACAAACTTTCAACTTCATTCGCACAAATAAATGACCCTGATCTACACTTACTAATGAGGCCAAGCTGCCTCTCCATCTCATCCTAAGCTCTTGAGCTTTATTACCATCAGACCTTACCTGCGTGATGACTCCAGGTCTGATTTGTATGGGAGGTGCTTGAGTGACCATAGGCACAGAGCCCTCCATCCGTACAGAGTAGCCTGCTGGTTTAGCTGTGTTGGGGGGGATCCCTGCAGGGACAATGGACAGGAGATAGTTGACTTTAAGAGATTTAGTCTAATCGCCACTAACAATAACAAACAAGTGAAATAAGGATTTACACCTCGTACCTTGAATGGTTGGGGGACATAGAATGAGTGCCTGCTGAAATGAATCGCTGCATCCAAACTGACCACTTCCTGTCTGCAATGGTATACCAGGGTGCATCACTGATTGGGCTGATGGGGCTAATCCCTAAAAAAAAAAAATTAAGAAGGGATATGACTGGACTTTTCTGAGGAACAATGATCAACAATAGCACGAAAAAGCCAGTAGATGGCGACATCCCTGTCAAGAGTTGTCTGTTTCAGACCGACAGAGCCCAGGGACCTGTCCGGTACTGAGAGACTAGTGGGTTAGTCAGTTAGTCTTTTCAGTCAAAAGACAGAGGCAAACTTGCATCACCATCGTAACCTCTAACACATGGCTGATCTTCTCCAGAGGAAGCTCAGGGTCCCGAGTCAAAAAGTAACCAATAGGCCCACTTTCTTACTAATAAGCTGCTTTAAGGATTCCATTAAGCAAAGGCAAATTATTTAATAGGTCTCAATAGGTTCATCTCATAAAATGCTGCTTGTGATCGGTTGATATTGTATATGATAATGGAAACCTTTTTATATGAACATGCTCATAAACTGAACCAATTCATCCAGGCTCACCGAGGTTAGATTTTTTTTAAAGTTGGAGAACTAAAAAGGCGTTAGACAATGTTGAACTTACTCTCTGAGACAGGCCTGGGGGCTAAACAAAGAACCTAAGCATATGCCTCGGCATCATTACGGCTCTCGTGCCTGGCTATAATTACATTTATTGAATAACGGGAACTAGGCCTATATTGTTCTGCTGCAGCAGCTTCTGAATGTAGCCCAACCCCCATATACATGATAGCAAAAACAAAGCAGCCTTTCAGAGGATAATACTTAAACAACCCACAATGTTTTCTTGTTCCCCTGAAGAAGAAAGATTTACCATTTACTGTGCTGCTCCATGGAAACAGAAACTATAACCGAGCAGTTCTATTGTGCAAAGAATGTGACAAGTAAT